TGTACTAGGTATTATAAGCAATCTAGAGATGATTTAAAGTATACAGGAGGTTGTGCATAGGTTATATGTAAATACTATGCCATTTTATATGAGACTTGAGCATCCACGGATTTTGGTATCTGTGGGGAAGGAGGGTTCCTAAAACCAGTCCCCTTCAGATACCAAAGGACGACTGTGTAATGTAAATGAATTACTGACTAATGATATAACCAAAATTGCTATATAATTCTATGGGACAATTAGATGCATATGTTGGATGGGTGAAATAAGAGACTTGAATCATTACCTTTTTTAACATAGGAAGTCAATAGATAATGTCTAATATTGTAAAATCAAGAAATTTTGTCATTTAGAAGCATGGAGGTAAATATTAGAAGGGTTGATAGTGTTTGCCATTGGGGATTAGGCTTGTAAGCAGACGAGGAGACGAGCATGGGCACTGCTGTTATTTGTTATGAGCAATTGAGTACTATTTAACTTAAATCAGGTACATTACTTTGATAAGAAAATATAATCAGTAATAAAAATAAACCTGCATATGTCTATGAGTGAGAAAAAAGCCTCCTACAGTGTTTTTGTTGTTTGTTGCCGTTGAGTCAATTCCAGGGCAGAGTAGAACTGTTTTATAGGGTTTTCAAGGCTTTGACCTTTTGGAAGCAGATTGCCAGGCCCGCCTTCCAAGATGCCTTTGGGTAGACTTGAACTGCCAACCTTTCAGTTATTAGTAGAAGGATATAAATGAAAAGTAACAGTTCTCCCTTCTTCCATACCCCATTCTTCTGAGGTAACTGCTTTTAATAGTTTCTACTTTTCATTGTTCTGGTGATTACGTTTATGACCTGAAGTGTATCTTTTTGGTAAAGCAGAAAGCTGTCTGGACTTTTCTTTGCCAAGTTAGCCAAAAGCTGTGTAGTTGGCCACATTAAACTACACTGTAGACATTGCAGGTGAATAGTGTACTTTGAAAGGAATCTGCAAATGGCCTATGACTCTTGTTGGTCTTTCATTCCTGAACCACTGTATTCAGCCAAGGAAGCAGCCCTGACCTAGTTGGGTGAGGCAAAGAGTTGTCCTGCCAGTGGGAGCTTGACATTTCTGGCAAGAGATTTCTTTTCTAACTGTTGGAGTTGGTGCCATGGCAGATTTTCCTAACTCAGGGAGTAAGTGCTGAGCCCTGGTCCAGCTGGTTAGATTATTCGTTGATTTTGATTATCTGCACCAATAAGCTCTTTTACTGGCACAGATAATCAGAAGCAGGCAGTAATTTTCCATCTTCCTAATAAAAATGCTTTCTGGATTTTAAAATTGCAAAAGGTAAAGTTTTATTCTATTTTCACCAAACTAGCGCTTTATAGAGATGGAGGAAATTTTTTTTTCCCCTTGTTTTGGCATTTTTTTTTAATTGTACTTTAAGCGAAAGTTTACAGTTCAAGTTAGTTTCTCATACAAAAATTTATACACACATTGTTATGTGACCCTAGTTGCTCTCCCTATAATGTGACAGCACACTCCTCCTTTCCACCCCGGATTTCCTGTGTCCGTTCAGCCAGCTCCTGCCCCTTTTTGCCTTCTCATCTCGACTCTGGACAGGAGTTGCCCATTTAGTCTTATGTATGTATTTGAGCTAAGAAGCACTCTCTTCATGAGTATCATTTTATGTCTTATAGTCCAGTCTAATCTATGTCTGAAAAGTTGGCTTTGGGAATGGTTTCAGTTCTGGGCTAACAGAGAGTCCGGGGGCCATGTCTTCCCGGGGTCCCTCCAGTCTCAGTTAGACCATTAAGTCTGGTCTTTCTACTAGAATTTGAGTTCTGCACCCCACTTTTCTCCTGCTCGGTCAGGGACTCTGTTGTATTCCTTGTCAGGGCAGTCATTTGTGGTAGCTGGGCACCATCTAGTTCTTCTGGTCTCAGGCTGATGGAGTCTCTGGTTTATGTGGCCCTTTCTGTCTCTTAACCTAATATTTTCCTTGTGTTTTTAGTATTCTTCATTCTCCTTTACTCCAGGTGGGTTGGGACCAATTCATGCATCTTAGACGACTGCTCGCGGAAATTTTTAATGAATTAAATTGAAAACTCTTCAGTCCTCAATGATAGCCATATATCTTTAGGCAGATCTTTTTTTTTTTTTTTTTTTCCTACTTATCACTTTGCTTTTCTTCAAAGATAGAGGAAAAATAAGTAATAATAATGATAATAAAAACACTCGTTGCCATTGAGTTGATACTGAGTCATAGCCACCCTATAGGACAGAGTAGAACTGCCCCATGAGTTTCTAAGGATGTAGTCTTTGCGGAAGTAGATTGCCACATCTTTCTCCTGTGGAGCGGCTGGTGGGTTCAAACCACTGACGTTTTGATTAGCAGCCAAGTGCTTCAACCACTGCACCACTGAGCTCTTCCTATGTGCTAGGCACTCTGCTAAGTACTCATCGTCTCATTTAATTCTTCACAATAGCCTTAGGAGGTTGAGGCAGTTATCACTCTCATTTGAGACTGAAGAAACTGAATTATAGTGAGTGGTTGAATGATTTGTACAAGGTTACACAGCGGGAAAGTGCTAGAGCTGTTTTTAGAGCCCTGATTTGTGTTGACTCTAGGGCCCATGTTCTTTGCCTCTGTGTTTGACTAACTTCAGTTCATTCTGCAGCCTCTTGCTGACTTTTTTCCCCCATGAGAATAAGAAAGCAGCTGATTAATACTTTAAACCTAATTACAATGTAAGGTACATATATATTGTTGTTGCACAGTGCTTATAAAAATTGTTGTATCTTTTCATTTAAAGAAAGTTTGGAATTTTGTAAGTTTCCCATTTCTGTCATTCTTTTGTATCCTCTCAATTCAAAACTCTAGAGTCATCTTTGATTTTTCCTGATACCTCTCCTTTTATTTCCGTATAATCACCATATTCTCTTTGTATTTTTGTTTTAAGTCACTACTCCTCATGTTTGGAATATTGCAAGTATCATTTCATTGGTCTCTCTTCTTCCAGTCTCTGCTACCTTAAATTGATCATACATACTGATCCAGTTTCTTAAAGCTCAGCCTCTCTCATATTGCATACCTGCTTAAACCATTAACGTCTCCTCATTATTTATAAGAAAAATACAACTTTATTAATCTAGAGTTCAAGACCTTTCATGATGTGGTCTAAATCTATCATTTCATGAGTTTATGTACCCTTAATCTTCTTACATACTTTCCTTTTCTTGCCCGTGCTGATATACCTCTCATCTGGTCATGAGTTTTCTCTACTACGCTTTGGCATTTTTTATATGCTTTGTATTTTGATAGTCTTTTTGTGTATATATGTCTCATTTCTGCAACTGAATTGTTACTGAACTCCTGAATGTGCTGACGGAGACTCTCTGAATCCACCACAACATTTAGTACAGTGGCTTGTATTTTACTGTGTAAAAACACTAATGAATGAATTTCTGCAGTTTTAAAGTCAACATGTAATTCTAATTTTATGCTTTTTTTTGTTTTCGTGGATTTCATAAATATTAGACAAGTAAAAGTTAATAGACTTTTCTATTATGTCCTTTCATCTCTTTAATTATATTTATAATTGGAGGTATATTGCTATAACTGTAATGATTTAAAATATTTAAAGAAATAAATCAGGCTCATTTAGTAATCTAATCTCCTGAAAGATATTGAACATCTACTCTGAATTAAAGTGATATACTCATTATTACATATGTTTTAAAAAATAAAAGCAGTATTTGAGAACTTGTAATAAGTATTCATGATTTATTATATTATTGGTAACATATGGTTTTGATGGGGATAAACTGAATATGTTTAGGTTATAAACATAAGAAAAAATATATAGATGAATTGCTTAGTTTATCTTGCCTGATGGACTGCATATAGCCTGATGGACTGAATAGGAAATTGTTCAGAATATTGAGTAATGACATATAGAAATTTAAAAATGTACTTAAATACTAAATATAAAACATTCTACTTTGACATGATTTTATTTTCCAAAAGGAAGTTGCATTTTTGTGTATTGAAATTGCTTCTTGCTTTCAACTGAATTTGAAAACATTTCTGCCTCTTACTTTCCCTTCCTCTTTTGCTTTTTTTTGTTGTAATAGTATAAATATTTTTTAAATGTTCATCTCTTTTATTATATTTTACTTAATTTTATAGCGGTTTTATGATAAATGTAATATTTCTACTTTAATGTGTAAATTATTTAAAACTATGTCCTCTATAAATAGGGCTTTTTCCTTGACATATTTGAGTTTCAGTAAGATTAAGAATAATTTCATCCTGAAACCAAGAAATAGACTATCATAAATTTTTATATATTTTAGATATTCATATTTAATTATTAGTCTCAGAGTGCTTCTGACATTTTTTACATGTAAATTTTAATGTAATATTATTTTACTTTAGCTTAGAAATCTCATACACTCTAAATGCTTAAAGGTTCTTATGCTGTGTTTTTCCCGTATTATGTTTTTCCAAATGATGTTGAGCATCATAATGATACCTTCTTTTACACCTCACATTTTTCTAAAACATATTTTAAATTATTTGATCCTTTAATTTGACTTTCAAAACATCCAAATGGAACTTTAATTTTATCTTTCAGAATAAAGAATCAAATATTTGCTGTAAATCCCTGCAGGTATCTTGTCTAATCTCACAAACAAAATGTTGAATTTTAAAAGTAGTGGCATTTTAAGTTAATATTATTTTTTAAAGGGAAAGAGGCTTAGAATGAAAGTGTAGATAATCCATTTTGACTACGTACTTTAATCATTTTATTTTTAAAATTTGACTTCATCTGACGATCCAAAAAAACCTCACTAATGTGCATTTTTGGATGTGTTAATTCCTTTTGTCAGAAAATGGAAGCTAGCCTAAATTTTCTAATAATTTTTCATCACATTAAAATCCATGGCAAAAATAAAAATGAAGTTAATTTTGAATTCCAGGGCATATATTTTATATGAACGCCTTTCTTCCTTGCTTTCTACCTAAGGAAATAGAGAAATTGAGATTAGAACTGAGTGAAAGCAAGCAGCATTTGGAACAGGAGCAGCAGAAGGGAGCCGGAGCCAGAGCGGAGTGCCTGAAACTGACAGAACTGCTGGGCGAATCTGAGCACCAACTGCACCTCAGCAGGTACTCCCTAATCCCATTATGTGCCATAGCACTGATTTCATTCCACTGATTTTTGCCACGGGCTTCCAAACAGTTGTTAGAGTTAGTCGTAGTCATTCAATTCACACACAGCTTTCAGGCATATTAAGAAAAGTGGGGACGTGGTAAGCAAAACACCCAGACATGTGAATGATAAGTGTGGCAGGGAATTACTGATATATTACAAAACCTTTCATCTGCAGTGCTCAAATATTTAGGTGATTCTCTATCAATATAGGCAAAATGACATATTTCTCCTACCAGTACGTCTTGTGTTAGTTCTACATCTAATAAAAATGTTGAAATGAAAAGTCGGAGAAATATATTTAGAAAAATAATCAGATATTGTCAGTGGTGAAAGAAGCAAAGTAAAAGACATCCTAAAATTCAAGTGGCGATGGAACTGATACAAAATAAGAAATCTGGGTCCTAAGGAGGGATAAAATTTAGAGATGAAATGCGTATACTGTCATGGTTTAAAATTGTATTGTTTCTGTCATGAAATATTGTGACATGATCCTCATTGTCATAAAGCTTCAGTAAACATACAGCTCAGCACTAAATTACCATAAGACTTCAGGTAGCAATCATTGTGAATTTGCTATATTGGAACACACACACACATAGATAAACACATAGAGAGGAGAATTCAAAAGAGATAGTAGATATTTCACATTACCACGTAAGTAGTTTTTCTCACTTTGAGTTTTAGTATGGTTTTTCAATTTGCAGGTCAAACCTGTGGGTTTGTGCAGTTTTTAGAGAGAACTTTGTCAAAATACACATGTAAGTTTGTGGTATTTGGCTTGGCTCCTTAATTAGAAAAACACTGGTCATAGTAATGATAGTAATATGTTGAATTTAAACCATGAGAAGGGGACTGATCCCTTCTACATTAAATATGACAATGTAATTCTGAGCACGGTATAATAACAGATGGAGAAAAGCACCACTTGAACAGCCTGCATTTGTAGAAAAAAAAATTCTAGAGGTTGGTGAACCTCCCAAAGTTTTGGGTTGGTGTTAAGATGCCTCAAGTTCTGTTAAAACCAAAGTTTGTTAAAAACATTTTGTTATGATAATATTTCAAAAGATTTGCCAACTCCCCTTTTAAACAATGGACAAAAAAGAGAAGAAAGAAAGAGGAAGGAAATCATCTATATGTTTGTGATATCAGGGAAAAATCCCAATAGGTGAAACAGTTTCATGAGAAAAAAATTGCTTAGTACTGCGGACTAATAACTGTTCTTTTAACGCTCATTTAAAGTATTATCATTGTAGAACTGAGAATGTAATGTTAACATAGTTTCTATGGTTATTTAATCGGTTATTGAATCTTAGAAGTTTCAGATTTTAGCTTCATCATAAGAATGTTAATAGTTTTTCTTCTCTGTCAGACTTCTATTGAGAATCAACCATTTGTGTGCTGAGCACTACTAAACCACAGAAATAGGACAGCTTTTAATGTCTCAGTGTGGCTGAGCTTCAGTAAATAAATATTAATGCTGGTTTTGCCCCTTTTGCCATTCTGTCTTATTCAGAGAGTTAATTTCTGAAGTCACAGTCCGTAGAGAGTTTTCTGGTGCAGTGTCAATTTGTACTGTCTGACAAGATCAAGTTCTTGCGAGTAGAGCATATTAAGATGCAGCAACTGCTGTAAATGGACGAGTGGTAACTAATTCCTTTGTTCTTAAGAAAAATGGTTTCGCCTGGTTCCGTGGAAAGCTTTTTCTGTTGAGTTTTATTTACAGCAATTCTACAAAAAATTTAAACCTAGTTTTACAAGAAACAAAACTTAATTACCTATTTTCTAAGTACAGCTCTTTTTGTAAGCATTCTGTGCTTCTTTGTCTATGTTCATGTTTTTTAAAATTGACACCCATAAATTTAAAGATGACAATTTAAAATGCAAGGAACTGTGTACATATCTCTTGTGCACTGAATATATGACTTTGTTGTTGGGCTAAATATTTCTAATATACTTTTTGGGGATTTTTAGATTTTGCTTTCCCACACCATTCTGTATTGATTCAGAACATACAGGTGCATGACAATGAAAAGGTATGTCTTTCTTTTTCATTGTCAACTAGATGAAATAAATAACTCCCAGACAGGTGGTTCCTCACTCCTTAGTCTCAAACATTTTGAACATGTTCTAAACAAAAGTTTCAAATTTAATATGGAAACCATGTGATAAAGTAATAATGGAATAGGGATCCAAATCTTTGGAGACAAAGAAAATCTAAAAATGGGAGTAGAAATCTGTAGATCACTTTGAAAGAAAAATAATTTACTACTTTCTTGGTGTTTCCCTTTATTGTTCAATTGGACTTAAAAATGGAAAATAGAAATTCAGAATTTATGAAGGACCCAATTGACAAGCATAACATTAATTTATTTGACAAATATTTATTGAGCACTTAATATCTTTTGAGTACTTTCTTGGCCCTGGGAATAGAGAGATAAATAAAATCCAGTTACTATCCATAGTTTGCTCACACTTTGCTAAAGAGCCAGACCTCTATGTAGCAATATAACAGAGTGTGATAGTAAGTGCAATGATAGAAGTAAAGATACCACAGGAGCATGTGGGAGGAACGGTTGGCTCATTCTGCTTTGGTGGTAAAGCTGATAGTCAGGGAAAGCTTTCTGGAGGAGGAGATGCTTGGTAGTAATCTTGATTAATGAGTTCATGAATAGGACTTAGCAAAGTGGAAAAAGTTTTATGGAAACACAGCCAGTTATCCCTTACATATTGCCTCTGGATGCTTTCTCACTACCATCGTAGATTTGAGTAATTTCAACAGAGACCAAATGGCTCTCAAAGCCTCAAATATTTACTGTTTGCCCTTTTACAGAAAACATTTAACAACCCCTGATTAAGAGGCTCTTTAATTCAAGTAAGAAGTCAAGAGAGCCTGAACTAAGACAGGTTGAAATGGGTATTTATAGAAGGTTATTGAAAGGTATTGTGGAAAATCCATTGTTTGAGGAAGAGATCATTGGCAGAGACCCCAATTAGAGTATGAGCACAGTAGTCCAGGGGGATAGTAATGAAATCTGGGCTGTGGCTGTACCAATGAAATGGAAAGGAAGCTGCATGTACAAGAACCATTTAGGGTAGCAATAAGAGAGCACAGAATTAAACGTGGCTCCAAGGTTTCTAGCCTAAGGTGACTAGATGATCCATTAATCCAACTAATGAACTTAAAAAGGATTGCCAGAGGAAAATAATGAGTTTTATTTTGGAACTCAGTGGAAAATAACGAGTTTTACTCTGGAACTTGGTGGAGATGTCCAGTGTAGGTCTGGTGTGAGGAGAAAGGTCCTGACTAGAGGCTGGGATCTAGTTGCTTTTACATAAACGTATTAGTTGTAGCCAAGGGATTAGGTGAAAGCACATAGAAAGCACCATGTTTTAAACGTAAGCCTGAAAAAGAACCACCAGCAAAGAAGACTGAGAAGGAGCCTTCAGATAAAATATTGAAAGAGTATACTGTTAAGGGACCTTGAAAGGGGAATGATTCAAAGGAGGCTTCAGTGAAGTAGCAATTAAAACCATATGCCTTTCCTCTTAGGAGAGGCCCCCAGGCAGCCTGGGGTTGAGGAAACCTGAGTTTTGCGATCTTCCCCAGCCTTTCACTATCTTTGCAACTTTTGACAAATTATTTTATTCTTTGGACCTGCTTACTTATTTGTAAAATAGACTAGATGATTTCTAAGTTTTCTTTTAGTTCTGATAGTCAAGCATTTTCACGGTGATTTGAGACAACAATTATTAAGTTCCTGTTTGTGCATGTTAGGCATTTAAATTGTTTAGCATATCCTTTGTCTAAGATACTTCCTTAATTAGAATTTCAGAGACTTTATAGAAATGTCCTTCATACTGTCCACTTGCATTCATCATAATTTAGGTTCTTCTGACTTCGCAGAAAGGTTATGAAAATGCCTCCTCATACCCTTCCAGTCTCTTTTGCTAACCACTGCCAAGTGAACATTCATAAAGCACTGCCTTGACTGTGTCTCCCTACTCTCCAAACCTTCCATGGGGCTGCTCTGCCTGTTACAGAATGTTCAAACCACTCACATGGCAATTTAAGATAATTCTCGGTGAACTCCGAACCTTCCCGTCTTACTTCATTACTGCTAGTCCTCTCACATGCCGATTTCCAGCCAGATTTAAACACATGCTTCCCCCCCTTGCACTTCTGGACTTTTCTCTCCTTTTGCTCTTCCCGACACCTAGAGTACCCCTTTGACCTTCTCTTGCCCTTTTAGAGTCTTACCTTCTTTTCCCGGCCTCCCTGAAATCCTGGTTTTTCCATTGTAGCCCTCCCTGCTGACCCCTGCCAGAGGGAATGCTTCTCCCTCTGAATCTTCCTTCCCACTTTGAGCTGATGGCACTCACTACATACAGAATGAATCACTCAAAGGAAGAAAAATGGAAATCTGGGGGAAAAAAATGAATTAATTCTTAGAAGTTTTTTGTGTAGATGCTTTTCTTCCCTTCTGGATGTATCATTCTTCAAGCTAGGGGGGAGGTTTTATTAATATTATATTTCTCAGAACATCTATCTCAGCATTTTTCGAAGAGTTGGAGCTCAATAAATCCTTATTATAGGAAGGGTTAATGTATTGCAAATTTATGACTCTTTTTTCAAAGTCCAATATCCGTATGTAACTAAATACATGTATCTTCTCAGATATAGTAAGGTAAAAAGTATAAGATGGAGATAATGAAATTTTTGATTGGGAATTTTACTCGTGTATATCGTGCTATATGTATTAAGATTTTGTAATAGTTTTTTTTCCTTTGTTTTTGACTTTATGTGCACATACATATTTACGTATAGCAGAATCAAATGATAATCATTTTAACAGTGCAGTTTGGGTTGGTAAAGTGTGACACATCTCAATTATACTCATTTAGCACACACACACACACCACACACACCTGTATTAAACTACAGTTCCCCATGATT